CTTCCAGTTGTTGTATGCATATAAGCATTTTTAAGGCAAATGAAACTTTTATTCGACATTTGTTTATAAAAATGACAGCGTTTCTCGTCAGAGACGAGTTACACTATAAATAAAGGTTAATCTTATATACAATTGTTTAGAAATAAATCGTTTCATGCTCTGTAATGAAATGTTGGTATAAAAAAAATTCATAGTCAGATTTGAGCATATATATTTAAGACTGCAATTGTACCTACAGTCTGTCATTTAGTATAAAAGTTAGATAGTCACTTTAAAACTCAAGTAATATTAAGACATATAGAAACTCATAACAGATTCGCTTCAATTAACTTGGATTTTATCATTTTAAAAAATTAATTGATTGAAAATCAAATATCAGAATAGAATATATAATAAATTTTACTTTGTTTGATACTTACTTTAATAAACTCCACAGATGCGGTCGTTTTTGTGCAGTATACTTTTAGTGGTTTTTCTGGACATTTCGCACTAATGATATCATTCAATTCTTTAATAAAGCTATTACTTAATTCAGTTTCAGATATGCTTAACACTTCTAAGTTGAAATATTTAACAAAATTTAATAGACCATTTTTGGTTTGGAATACGCAATTATCAATATGAAGTTCTCTCAAATTTTGCAGATCTTTAGCAAGCCATTCCATTTCATAATCGTAGAAACTAGCACCATATACGTATAGTTTTTCCAAATTGACCATATTTTTAAGTAAATAAAACATCATGCTATAGGAGAAACAGTGATTAAGTGCAATTTTTTTCAATTTCGTTTCAATTTCATAAGGCAATCTTAGTGTAAAATCCTCACTGGAATAACAGGTAATTTTTCGCAAATTTGCCATATTAGGTAAAATATCAACTAGTAATTTTAGATGATAATAATCTATAATAACTTCTTCTAGAGTAGTACAGCGTACAATATTATCTATTTCGAAATCAAAATATTTTTTTCCAAAATATAAAAAAGTTAATTTTTTCAATTTAACGCTAGTAAATATTCGAGAAAGATATTTTGCTTCCAAAAATTTGCAACCGCTTAGATTTAAATCTTCCAAAAACGGTAAAGAATCAATGTATTTGCCTGTTATATCACTTCTTATACTAAGTTTTGTTAAATTTGGAAAACTCATTCCAAACATTTTTGCCAATTCATCCTTATTATAAGTTTGAGATGTTGAAATTTGTTCATTCTCATCTATAGTACTACAGGATAGTTCTTTCACATTGGGAAAAACAAACTTATTTATACTCTTAATGTTTTCATCATTAAATATTCTTATATCCATTTTTGTGATAATGTATTGGATTTGAAACAAATAGTCCTCGAATTTTTTTCTTTTTATGGCATAAGTTTTGAACATATTACATCGAATTCTAGATATTGTATTACGATGCCACAACGCTTCTATAATTTTTTTAAATCTTCTGCAAACCAAAATATTTATAATCTGCTCCTCTGCGCCGAGGCACTTAAAAATTTCCTCCAGGCAATCATCATTTAACATTAAAATGTTCATGTCTGCAAACAAAAATCAAATTACAGTTTACAAGTAATTTTCAAATTTTCCAAATTTTTCCAAATTAAGGAAAAAATTCCGAATAAAAAAAAATGAAAATGCTGGTTTAACTATCAGAGAATTCATTACTCTTTATACAAAAATTGAGAATTCTCTAACAGAAATGAAAATCATAACTTTTGTAAATGCCTGCTATAAAAAAAAAACATCCGATTAGCTCTGATATTAAATTATAAACAAATTTGTTGCGATCGATTCCAATTTTTTATAAATGCAAAAATAAATTTTTAATTATTGAAGTCGAAAAAAATTAAAGAAGAGAAGACTCAACGATATGCAGGCAACTATATTCAATCTGGCCACGTTCCGATAAAAGGAAATTCAAAATCCTCATTGAGATACCCCGTAAAGATATCAGTCTTTTAGTAGGTTTACTTACAGGTCACTAAAAACTAGGGAACCATGCTAGAAGATTAGGTCTCCCTCTCTATCAAATCTATCGCAGCTGTGGGGAAGACGATAACAGTGCCTATCATCTACTGTTTTTGCCGAGCTCATGCACGGCGGCGACTCAATACTTTAGGAGCCCCTTTCTTGAGGATCTTGACCAATTACAGAACCTGACACGAGACAGCATTTTAGACTTCGTCAAAGGTTCTATGTGGTTTTAAACCGAGTTTTTCCTATATATACGGTAACACAATAGGCAAATTCGCCTAAGTGGATTCACTAGGGATCCCCGGTATAACCTAACCTAACCGAAATTCGAAAAAAATGAAACCACCAGAGCGCTTTATACAAAAAGTTGTAGTTGAACATTAACTTGTTTAGGAGCTATATCTAAATTTGATACGATAAAACGATTGAATATATGTTACAACTAAAGGAGGGGTTTCTATAAAAATATATCTATGCCTTCAGTTTACATAGCAACTATGAGACGTTATAAACCAATATTAAATATATCAGCGAATAGCAAGCTACGATCATTGTGAGTAAAATTAACCAATAAACTATATGTCAAATGTAAATTTCAGGACTGCATTCTTCAAAATTTATTGTTTATTTATATATTGTTTAAACAATAGATACTCATTTCGCATTGAAAGTACAAAATTTTACAAAAATTTTAGTCATAACCATTAATATCTGCTTTTATTAGGAAAGATTATGGAACCACATCTTTAGAGAAAGAATGTTACATGATCCACACCTAAATTGGGCTACCGTTTTTTAATACGCAATTTATTTAAATTTAATTGCTTCTAAAAAACGAGATATATAATATTTATATATACAATTATATTATGGACCTATTACATTTATAAATTTTATAATTATAAATAAAAACTTTTTACTTATTGTAAACACGTACGAAAAATAATATCAATTCCACAATAAGACTGCGATATCGTATTAGAGTTGCAATTACATTGCACCTACATTGTTCGAGTCAAATATTTTGCAATATTTCAAATAGAGTAAAGTAAAATAGAGTAGAATTCATAAACGTAGACATTAAGAAGATCAAAGTTATACAATTTTACTTTATAAAAACAGATGAGCAAAAAAAAATGGTCAACAAATCATGAATCTAAAAAGAGTTGATGTATACGACAACACATACACATGTCCGAAATTTCAACATAATAGACCAATCATCGATCCCTCAGAGATCCGCATTAATATTTCTTAGTTTATTACATTCACAACCAGCATAGAAAAAAATTTGCATGTGGACACAGTAGAAGTTTTCATACCTTAACACTAACATATATAGGATATTTGAGGCAAAATAATTTCTATATTTTAAGATATTTAGTTTTGAAGGCTCCCCTTAAGGTGAAACATTAAGATAGTTGTTTTTACTTAAAAAACTTGTTGAACTAATTTTAAATATTAAATGTTTACTTATTTGTTGATGTGACTTTATAACGCATAAGCTTTAAAAATTAACTTTATTTAATATTTAAAATTCGGTTTCTATTCAGTATAAACAAATGAAGTATAAAAAAAATTCGGTTCCTATTCAATCGCGCATCCAAGCATAAACAAATGCTTAAGAAGACTGAAAATATGGTAGCCGGAACTCATATCCAATACTGATCTCTGGGAACGCATGGAACACGCACAAACTGTCACTTAAATCAAAAGAAGAAAATGGAAGTGGATTGACCAAACGCTCAGGAAAACATCATCATGCATAACTAAACAAGCTCTATGCTGGAGCCCACAAGACAGCCGCCAGCATGGAGCCGCAACTAAGAAATGACAAAGAACGGTGGACTTGGACCTTCAAGACGCACAGTACCTGGAACCAAATCACGAAAGATGCAGACAACAGAATAAGATTTAGAGGAACTATTGAGGCCCTATGCTCCATTTAGGAGCGAAGGACAGCGGAAAGTAAGTAATACAAATTATATTAACAACAAATTAATTAGTTTATTTAAGTTATTTTACAAGGTAAACAATTCTATAAAAAAAGATAGAAAACATCTAAGAAACAAAAACCGAGAAGCTGAAAGAAAACTGATTTGCACAAATCAATCTTTACATTAATTCAATTCTCGTATAGAGAAGCAATTAATCATAACAAATTATTTTTACTGAGTTTGCTGCACAATATAAATAAAATAACTGTCAGCTGCCACACAATTAAAACTACAACTTAAACTGCTTTGGAGTCGCATCACAATTGCATCGCTCTGATACACAAATAGCTTTAATATTCTAGTTTAATTATATTAACCTTATATTTATAATTATGTTGGCAAGACTAATCAATACGTAAAATCTTCCTAACATATAACTTCGGTTTTTAACTGTAGGTGGCCTGAAAAAGCAACTTAATAGTTTGATAAGGGTTGAAACTTTTTAAGTTTTTTAATAAAACAATGGCTTAAAGAATTTAAATTTTTCAGTTGCAGTCTAGATTATTTTTTCTTGTTGCTTTTGTTTACATTTGCTCTTAAATTGTATGCGGGACCGGCAATAATTACATGTTAACAATGTGCTTCTTAATAATTCTAACCCCTTGCAAATTTAACAAATATAGTACGCCAAGTAATTATTTTCAATTGATTAATGTAACAATTTAAATAGAAGTCTTACTTTGATCACAAATTCCAATTTCATTATGTTTTCGTTTTTTATGACGTAAAAGGAAACAAAACAAATATGAAAAAAAATGTTTTATACGATCCATTGTTAAAGCTTAAAAATAAAGACACGCACTTTTTTATTTATTTGATTTATGTATTTATATATTTTATTGAATTTTTAAAACTACCAAAGTTAATTCTCTATGCTGTTAAATATTTACAACAAATAAACGTTCATATTACTATTTCGTACTATTTAAGAAGAATAATATTAAAAGTAAACGGCAAATGTCAAAATTTTCTTTGCCTTTTGTGTTTATTCTTATTAAATATTAGTCTGGTTATCTCTTTCTTACACTGAGTGCAATACGCCATTTAGATTATAACAAAGAAAATGTAGGAATATATATTTTATTGTCTGTTAGTTTTGTTTAACAATCACGTAGTAAATTCAGTAGTGTTAATAGGATTTATTTTTGCGCACAACATGCTAAGATTTTTGGTAAGTTCTGAATTTACTAAAGATGTTTAAAGAAAAATTAAATATAACTAGTCGTATTGCGTATACAATGGGTTCAACGTAAAAATTAGATTCTGAGTTATAACTAAGTAGACATTTAAGTTAATATTATATAATTAATTTAATTTAAAAGTTATTTGCAAAAAAGTCCAAAATTGTGAAATGAAAATAAAACCATTAAAATGGCTTTATATTTATATATAAATATTAAAGATATATATTAAATATGGCCTCCGTTTTTTTTTTTTTGTTTTACTGTTAAATTTTTATATAAATAATTAATTTTCCCAGAAATATTTTCTGAAATAATTACAAGAAACAGTTTTCAATTCATATTAATTTTGTTATAATCACTATTGACTGTAGTTTTTAATTTCTTTGCAACTGTGTAAAAAAATTATCTATCAAAAAACTGCAGATAAGCATGAATGGTCAAAAACAAAAAAAAAAATAAACGGAGAAAGTAAGGAATAATAGTCTTAGGCGCGTGACGTCACGATTCCATATGATTTATTTTGTTGTTGTTTTGATAAGGCATTTTTCTGTTTATAAAAAAAAATCAAATATTGATAAATAATTAATTTCGACATTAAATAAAATTTTTACTCATCCAAATATATTTTTTGGTATATTTTTCATAAATTGCGACAAGACTATAAGTAGTCTTTTTACTTTAATCTCAATAAACAATTATTTTTTTTATTTCATTGGTGGTTGTTAAGATGAGTGTTTACATAACTCATAAGAGCGTGTGTGGTTCCAGAAAGAAGTGACCGCTTTTTAAGCCAATTTATGTGATTTTATAAAATTTATATAAATTGCTTTACGGTCACTTTAAAATAATTTTTCAATTTAATGATAATTGCATTACACGTGAAGATGATTTGTGTAATAAAGCAACCATATCTTGAACGACTATATAATATTTTACAATCATGTTAAAACCCTCTTCGATTTAGTAATAATACGTCACACACGTGTTTCCAAAATGACCTAATGGTTTCATGAGAAACTAACTACCTCTAATGGATTTTATGTGTGTTCTATATGTTATTTTGCAAACGTCTTAGAACCCACTACATCCCCAAAAACACTTTACAATTGAATTCCCAGTTTTCAAAAACTTTATTTAATATTTGCTCGCATAATTTAAAAGAAATTTTTTTCCTTTGATTTCAAGCAACTTTTCTAGCTTATAAAAGGTCCCAGGTTTAATTTTCCACGATGCAATTGTATAGTGGCTACTATATAGTTTTTATACTGACCAATATTCAACTAACTCAAAATAATTTCTGATTTTCTAATTTAATTAATTAAGTATTTGATGTTCATTATGTGAAAAATAAATCACTATTAATTAGCATGTGTCATCTAGAACAGGATTTAGATCGCTGCTGACGTTGAAGATTAGATTTTCGTTCTGGTAACAAATCAATTTTTTTTTCTGGCTTCCCTATTATGAAACACTGTTCTAGAGTATTATATATATTGTCGAATTTTGTTATTATATAATTATTTACTTTCAAATTATTAAAAAATCTTTTCTTTATAGTTAACGTTAAGTGTTGGCATCTACACTGGTATATATATTAGCCAAAACTATGATGTAAGTTATATTTTTTTGTATAAATAAAAAAATCAAATAATTAATTTACTAAATTTTTTCAGGTACCACGAGTAGATGAACCATCTAAAATTATTGACAAAATAAAAGAATATGCTGACGATCATCGTAAAAAGTAATTTTCTTAAAGAGCATTTATTTTTTACATATAAGAACCATAAAAAATTACCTCATTAACATCATGTGCGTTAATCAAAATCTTGATCGATCTAAATCGAGTCATAAGATATACACGATGGGCCACGTTTCTTCTACAACTACAAAATCTGCTAATGATAATACGGGGTTGTACTTTGAATGTTATAATTGCTTCATGAATATAAATCAGAGCACAAAGATATAATTTGAAATAATCGGGACCATCGTTGTACCGGAAGTATATGATGTTTAATAGATCTACTTTAAATTTCAGGAGACTAGAAAAAATAATAAACACAACTTAAACTCTTCTGAATATTTTGTGAGAACTACAAATAAAATTTAGAAATGTTATAATAATCTTGCTCAATATGGAAATTGTTTAAATCTTATTTTTTTGGCAACAACAATTACACAAAATCAAGGGAATATATCTCAATAAACTGATAAGTGACGAATGAAGTGATGAATATCATTAGTATATAAATTTTGATCGCTAAAACTCAAATTCATATAATTTTTTTTATTTATTTTTAGTTGTAATATACTAAACGGTAGGTCCGTTAACAAATAATTTCTTTTACTACATATATTTTTGGATTATAAAACATATTTGATAAAATTTGTATCCTCACATATTTTTAGGACTTTTGTTTTTAATAAAATTTATAATTTTCACTTAATAGTTTTGTGCAACTATATAAAAATTGTTGTTATAATAATATTAAATATGATTTTTTAAAATGAC